CTGGACTGCAGTGGCCATGGTCACGAATCCCCAACAGGAATTCCATGTGATGTTTTTGTTTTTCGAAGAACACAGAATTCTCTCTAGACTGTCAGTTTACCTGATGAGGCTCTGGGTGCCATAAAAATGCTTCTCCGAAGTTAGCAGATGAATTTTCAATACATCTGCATCAATTCTTTGACAAAAGCAATTTTTACCAGCGGCACAATATTTGAGTTGGATAATCTGGCATTGTTCTTGCACTCACCGTCTGCCTTCGATTTTTTTCATTAAAACAGAGTTAAGCACTGCAAGTCAACAACATTTGAAGAAGTTGAAAATGCCTCTATGATGCATTGCTAAACAGCACGGTTACGAAAAGGCAGTCAGGGGAAAAGGACCTCAAATATCTTCTACTGCTTCCACCCTTACCGAAATCCCCTTCATTCTGTCTGTACTGCAAGACCGTCCTTTCTATACTCACCTAACGAGCACTCCTCTCAGCTCGACTAATCGCCATGTCTCCTTCACTTTCAGATGGAAATGCAGGTTTCTCATCTCCGCACACAAATGCAGAGGTCGAATGCAAAAGCTGAGGATTTGCAACAAACCCTGGACCACCTTCGACGTCAACTCACTGTTAAGGAGGGCGAACTCACGGAAGCTGGTAGGATTTTGTGGTGTCAGCAGCATGACTGTTGTCTGTGGCACAATTCACCTGATGGCATGTCTATTGACGAGTCTGTGTTACGAAAAAAAAGGCATTCATGTGTGGCTGCATGAGTCGCTCTTGTCATCCCCAATGCTAGTGTCGTGGCGCTTGCCCTTTTGCATGGCTATTAGACTGAAAAAAATGGGGGCTAGATGAGTGCAGAGAGATGGACAACCCACGCTTACACCATCCATTGTCGTCGATTGCCGCTTATTTTAACTTGACATTGGGCAAATCCACTGTCCTCGGCTTAGATAGCGTCGACAGGTGAGGAAGGAATGGGCGGTCGAAGCGGGGAACTATTCTAACTAGTTTTTTTGTGTCACTTTGTTCATACTTTATGCATCAGCGACTTGTGTGAAGGTAGATTCGTATGTAGGTGTCAACTGCTGCGAAACAATATCCTTTTTTCACCTTTCTCCCTCTTCAGTGAGTGAAGTTGAGCGTTTGCGGACCGACAAGGCGATTCGAGACGCTGCTGTTGCTGCCGCCGCCGTCTCAACGGACGCTAAGATGACGTTGGAGTCCTCGAAGGAAAGAGGTCCGCTAAGTGAGGCGGAAGTCAAGGAATCCGTCTTCTACAAAGACCTTGAACTGACAACTGGTGCGTTGAGAACCAAGGTACTGGTCGTTTGCTGAACATGGCTTGCAGTTTACATACGCAATCACTCGAATGGATTTCGCACTTTACTGTCTTTAATACTGCTCATTCATAGGCTATTGTTGTCATCTAGTGCTAAAAAGTCTTATGGATTACTTCATCCACGCCTCAATACTTCATTTATTCATCTTTGAGCTGTCTCTCTACTTCCCTCTCACCTGTCCATTCCTTTTCCCTTTGACACACCTTTCACCTTTCGTCTGTTCATTTACTTGTTTCTCTCTGTTTGCCTTACTCGCGGGTCGGCTTATTCCTTCTCAATCCAGATAAAGCTCTTACACTCGTCCAGAAGTAATTTTATTCGCAGTTAGTGGATGGTGGTGATCACGAGCTCTTTTTTGTGTGTAATGTGAAGGTGAACGAGCTGTCGGAAAGACTGAGTGAGACAACGGAGGCTCTTTCCTTAGCGGAGGGTCGTGTTGCGGATCGCGAAGCTGTAATCGCTACAGCAACTTCTGAACGCACCGCCCTAAGTCGTGCCATGGAGCAGAACGCCGTTTTGAAGGATCGCCTTATTCACCTACAAGACGCTCTCGACGTTGCTGTTCGTGTCCACTTTTTATTTGCCTACCAGTGTACCATTTTTTTTTCATGTGGTTCTCGTACTCCTTGTAGAAGAAGGCATATAAAGAGGCGGAAGCCCA